GCTCTTGATGCACTGACTTCAGCCTCAGTCCACTCCTTGTGAAAGTCCCCAACACTTTTGAATGGCCTTTTCCAGAAAATCCTCTCCAGGCTGCGGTCATCCCTGCTGCTTGTGCACCTTTTTCTTCCACACTTTTCCCTTCCACATAACTTTCTATTAATGCGCTTTGATACAGCACTTTGGAAACATCCAACTTCTTTTGCAATTACCTTTTGAGGCTTTCCCTCCTTATGGAGGGTGTCAATGATGGTTTTCTGCACAACTGTCAGGTCAGCAGTCTTTCCCATGATTGTGATTCCTACTGAACCAGACTGAGAGACCATTTAAAGGCTCAGGAACCCTTTGTAGGTGTTATGGCTTAATTAGCTGATTAGAGTGGGACACTTTGAGCCGAAAATATTGCACCTTTTCACAATATTCTCATTTTCTGAGATTGTGGATTTGGGGTTTTCATGAGCTGTAAGCCATAATCATCACAAATCAACAAATCACGGCTTGAACTATCTTGCTTTGCATGTAATGAGTCTATCTCATATATTAGTTTCATGTTTTAAGTTGCGTTACTGAAATAAATGAACTTTTGCACGATATTCTAATTTTTCGAGTTTCACCTGTATGTGTACCTCCGACCGGAAATGATGAATCATTTTGATTAAATCACCCATCAAAAAAAAAAATGTGTGTACGGAAACCATAAGGCGTCATGCACACTGGATGTCTTTGCTAACTCTCACCTTTCCTCTTAGCAGAGTTGTTTTACCAGAAAAAATGCTTTTAAATGTGAGTAGTTTAGGTGCATTTAAGCATGTTTAAGCACGTCAAGCGCTTTGGCATTAATTTCATTGGCCAGAGTAATAATTTATTCTGGCCATTGAAATGAATTAATGCTGCAGCGGCCTAACGTGCCTAGCGTCAACACATGTTTAGCCAGGTTTACACGTGTCAAGCGTTTTTTTTTTTTTCCGCAGAAGGAAAAAAAAAAATCTTAGCCACCGCACACCATACAAGCCTGGCGTGTGATAGGTGATAGCAGTCTCGGCATAGCTTCATCCAGGCTATGCCCCCAAGTGGGTTTTCTGCCATAATGCTGCTGCTCCTGGACATGCTGGCAGTTTTTTTTTTTTTATTTTTCCTGCCTCTAAACTCCTATTATTATTATTATACAGGATTTATATAGCGCCAAGTTTGCGCAGCACTTTACCAAATGAAGGCAGACATTACAATTACAATACAATTTAGTACAAGAGGAAACAGAGAGCACGGCTCGTCAGAGCTTACAATCTATGTGTAGACTCATAGGCTAACATGCAGGGGTGTTTAGAGGCATAAAAAAACATAACGCTAGATGCCCCTAAAAGCAGTCAAAAACGTCCAGTGTGCATGAGACCTAAATCTGCCGCATGCTCCGAAGGCACAGTATCTGTGCCATTGCAATGGGTCACTGGAATACATTACACAGGCTCTGCATGCAGTATGGCCATGTAATGTGTCAGTATACAATTTACGATGTACATGAACCCTAATCCTTGAATTCCATAGGAAGCATATAAATACACCTGAATGCATTTAAATGTCAACATGCCTTGAACACGCACATGGCAAAGCTCAGGAAATGCACATAAAACAGAGCGCAAAGCACCTTTCTTTTGCTTTTGTCAACATGCCTCTACACGGCGAGGAAAACCACTCTGGTGTCAACAAGCCCCGAGGCCGACGCTGGTGTGTATGAAGCCTGAAAGGGAACAGCGTGAGGCAGCCCCCCTGCCAAATCCTCCGACTACGCAGCCCTGTCTATGAAGGAACACATGCCTCGCAGCTGCTGAACTAATCTTCTATAGTTACACAGATCTTTCCTAATAAACCAGAAAAAAAACAAACATAGTGAGGCAGGAAGTTTTCATCTTCTTTCTTAGAATTTGTGATTTTTAAGGATTTCTGTCATTGCAGGAGGACTCCAGGCCTGCCGGAGAGGGAAAAGATGGCTGGAATGTGGACTTGGACCTCAGTCTGGTTTAGTAGAAGGACGGAGCAATAGCAAGTGTTTACCCTAATTACAGATCCCGCTGTGTGTTTCTATATTAACCCATAGCAATCAGATTTCTTTTTTCATCAGTACGGAACACTCAGATAAACAGAAGAGGTTTAATGATTGGTTGCTATAAGTTACTGCAAATTTGCAAATACGTTATATAAAAGTTTAATGTCTTTATCTTTTAATCCTCACCTATGTTCCAATTTAACGCTAGACCAGAAGTTCAGGGAAGCAGCACTAAGAAAGGAGCCAGCAGAATTGAAAGTTGTAAACTGCACGTTCTGCGCAAAAACTTTTAACAGTTTACTGGGCAATGTTTATTTATTTGTGCTCAATGAGCTAAACTAAAAATTCTGAGAGACTAATACTCTTTTAAAGAAGAAGTCACCCCAGACATACAAAATGCCTATTAAATCCCCCAGGGGACTAAGTGCACTTGTCCCTGTTGAAATCTGCGCTGTATTTGCTGAGCAGTGTGGTTAGATAGCTCTCCTAGCTGTGCAGCCTTGTGCCTTCTCTGCTCTTTTCCTACTGATAAAAGACTGAGCCCACTACCTCCTGCAGCCACCAGCTAGTTCAGAGAAGATTTCTGCAGAAGAAGAGGTGACTTGTGTCGTGAATAATAGTTTCTGGAGATAAGTGCTGGCATTCACAAAAACACAAGAAAAACATCACAAGCCGGCTACTACATGTGTCTGAGAGAGACTAGTGTAGTAGCTGCCAGCGTGTGTTTTTGTGAGCTTGTGTTTTTGGCTGCTGCCATTCACAACACAAAAAAGCGTAGGATTTAAACTCTGTGGAGGCCCCTAGGCAGTTGAAAGCTTAGGGCCCCCTTGTAGGTGCCTGGAGATATCAGGCACGTGTTCTAATGGGATAACATTGAACTAATTAGTGTGCATGTAGGCCACTAGGTGACCATCACTGCTGTACATAGCACATATGTAGGTTGCACCAATTTAAGAGACAAACTGAAATGTAAACCTGATGTCTATGGTTTCTGTACTTTAAGTTGTTATTGGGTACATTACATTTATACATTTATATATTTTGATATTCTGATAGGCAGTACCTATGCTGTATTTCCTGTTTAATTTATATACATGATTACTTTTTAAGTTTGTTCATCTTTTAGATGCGTTGCTAGCCCCTGAAGAAGCGACTCCAGGCGCGAATCACGTTGGGCATTTTTCACACAGCTTGGATATTCCCCACCCTCTGAAAAAAGTATACTGTATCTACCATCTTCATCATGTGAAATTAGTTTGTAATGTTTGGTTGGTGGGGGGAGACATGCTGTGTTCCAATTGTGCAATGCAAATTTTAATTATATGCAATGTACGTTTTAGATGTGATATGTCAATAAGGCAACATTGTTTTTACTTCTTGTGTACTAAGTTTATGTGCCTAAGAAGTCCATTAGATTTTTTTCCCTCCAATATTCTTTGATGGGGACATGGCACTATGACATTTTCTGGGGTATGACCTCCTACCACCCGATGCCCCAATTTCTGTATTTGGTAATCAAGCACTGAACATAAGCAGACTGGATCGGAGGTACAGCTACTATTACAGTATTCTCCCTCTCACAATGATGTGGAATCGCAAAGTTCTCTGCAATGATGGTCTCTTCCCCTTATGCAAATACAATGTATACAATAATGATGGCATACTAAGAGAGGCCAATGTCCTTTGAGCTGTGAAGCTTGCAGAGCTGAAACAAATAGGTGATAGAGAATCCTCAGTCTTGCACAGCAGCTGAATATACCACAAGATGCAGAGTTGCATGCACTATTTTTAATTTGCAAATTCACAGTGTTTACATTAAAAAAAAAACAAAATGTTGTCTTGCTTTAAGCAAAGCTATGACAGTTACCCTTTAAAGTAATACAACATAGTTGATGTATTTCATTTAGCACACAAAAAAAAAAGTAAAAGATGCAATCTTATCTTTCATCAGACCAAACAATTGCAAGCTCGACATAGAATGACGTTCAGAGCCTGGAGCCCAATCCATAGCTCATTTGCATAGCTATACAAACCCAAGTCCTTACCCTGGGACTGCTCTACAACCGTACTAAAGTCTTGTATAAACACTGAGCCACTTACTATATCCACTTTCTGGCTATGCAGAAACTGGGAGCGCTGCCAATAATCTGCCTGAAGGAGGTACAGCGCTCTATATGACTCTCATGGTAGAAAAAAAAGATCAGTAATTAGCTCAGCTATGAATCCATTAGTCCTGCCCAAGATCCTTCTATTAACATAATTGCTGTGATTCTGCCTTCTGCTTTTAATAAGTATTCTGTGTGATGAATGCTGCCTGTACTGCTGGTATGAGGCCTGATGTTAAAGCTGACCTATCATTAAGGGTCAGTTCACACTACATGCATTTCAGTTGCTTTTTTTCTGCTTCCAAAACACACAGAAAGTAGGTTATATGGTTATCAATGTTATAGTTCACATCAGTGCTTGCAGTTCCAGTGCGTTCCAGTTGTAGAAAAAAAAAAGTAGAACGTGCTGCATTTTTTTCTGCACGGAACTGTACTGGAACGTGGTAAAACACATCAAAAACACACCGGAACGCACCAAAAACACACATGTCCCTATTTAACCGCCTCCCGCTCGCCATACAGTACAATGACGGGTGCAAGGCGGTTCTCTCGTTCCGGGAGGACGTTACATGACATCCTCCCTCGGACACAGTGGATCACCGATCAATGGAAAGAGCTGAAGATGTCGGCTCGGTCATGTGATCAGCTGTGTCCAATCACAGCTGATTACATGTAAACAGGGAAATGTCGGTTATCGGCATTTCTCTCCTCACGAGCTATCACGCTGACAGAGGAGAGGAGAGCCGGTAATCGGCATTCCTCGGAGGGGACATGTACACAGATCATCAGAGCACTGATGATCAGTGTGCCCTGATGATCTGTGTAGCCCCAGCAGTGCACCTGTCAGTGTCCATCAGTGCCAGCTGTCAGTGCCCATCCATGCCACCTGCCAGTGCACATCAGTGCCACATTTCAGTGCCTACCAGTGCACATGAATGCCACATATCAGTGCCCATCTGAGCTGCCTTTCAGTGTTACCCATCAGTGCCAGTCAGTGCCACCTATCAATGCCAGTCAGTGACACCTATCAGTGCCGCCAATCAGTGCCACCTATCAGTGCCAGTCAGTGCCACCTATCAGTGCCAGTCAGTGCCGCCTATCAGTGCCTGCCAGTGCCGCCTATCAGTGCCGCCTAACAGTGCCAGTCAGTGCCACCTAACAGTGCCAGTCAGTGCCGCCTATCATTGCCATATATGAGTGCTGCCTTTTAGTGCCCATCAGTGATGCCTGTCAATGCCCATCAGTGCCACCTACCAGTGCCTCCTCATCAGTGCCCATCAGTGCCACCTATCAGTGTCCATCAGTGCAGCCTCTCAGTGCCCATCACTACAGCCTCATTAGCGCACATCAGTGAAGGAGAAAAATCACTTATTTACAAAATTTATAACAAAAACTAAGAAAAACATTTTTTTTTCAAAATTTTCAGTGGTTTTTGGTTTAAGAAAAAATAAAAAACCCAGAGGTGATTAAATACCACCAAAATAAAGCTCTGTCACAAAAAAATGATAAAAATGTCATATGGGTACAGTGTTGCATGACCGCGCAATTGTCATTCAAAGTGTGACAGCGCTGAAAGCTGGAAATTGGCCTGGGCAGGAAAGGGGTATAAGTGCCCTGTAGGCAAGTGGTTAAATTGAGGAAAAAGAGAGGGGAAAAAATGAACTGGAATGCATAAAAAACGCACTGGAACGCATCGAAAATGAATTAAAAAAGCACCAGATTGTGGCAAAAACGCACATGCAAAAACACATTTGGACTGCATTTCTATAGTGTGAACCAGCCCTAAGGCCACATTCACACCTAGTGTTTCTGGAATGCGCAACAAAGTGCACAGGAAACGTGCGTTTAGCTGCATGCTTTGGAAATGCTCTACAATCGCGCTACAAATGTCTATCAAAATGAATTGTTAAAGGGACCCCAAACACAATTAAGCAGATGCACTGAAAAACACGCGATACTCCATGCCCAAAAAAGTTCTGGAACTTCTTTGGTGAGTTTGTAGCGCATAGATCTGATCTGAAGAAACACGGGATGGAATGTGGTTATTGCTTCGGCCGCCATTATAGGAGATTCACGCTTTCTATTTGTACTGTTTACAATTGTTAAACTAGAATGAAAGATGAAAGAAAGTCCTAAATTTTGAGTTGTTACCAGAACAGGAAGAGAGGAGTAGTCTTCCTATGGGGACACTAGTTCTGAAGACTACCAGGGATTCCCTCACTTTGTAGGGATTTCCTCTCACTTCCTTTTTCGGCAATGGGACATGAACTGTAGGGAAATCTTCTCATTGGGACACAGATGGCAAAAAGAAAACTGACAGGGATTACAACCTTCCCTAATGGTACATTTAGATTTGTAGCAAGATTGTTGTGCCTCTGAAAAGTAATTTGCTCTCAGATTGCTTTTCTGTGGCATTTAACAGCTGGTGAAGAGGCACCTTCTCGCCCCGTCTTAAAACTGTAAATGTCTCTGCAACCGCATCACCTCCCCATTAATGGTTGTGTGTGTGTGTGACAGGAACAATAGTTTCTTGCTATGGGCGCAAAGTAAAGCATCACAACTGTGGCATGTGAACACCCACGTCTGCTGCCTTTGCAGCTAAGGGGTGGGAGCACTAAAAACACCTCTCAGCTGCTTTTAACATCCCTTAAAGTGGTTGTAAAGGCTGAAAAGTTTGCATAAAGGGAAAAAACTTTTTATGTACTGCTCCCCCCCCCCAACAGTCCCCCAATACACACCTGAGCCCCCTCTCGATCCAGCAATGTGCACAGGAGCCTCGACTGCCCCTGGTCTCTCTCTCGTCATTGGCTGAGCCATTGGCTCCCATGGCTGTCAATCACAGCCAGTGTGCCAATAAGGAGAGTGCGGGGGCAGGGCAAAGTTGCAGCTCGATGTGTCTTATGGATACATAGAGCGAGCACGCACCAGTGCCCCCACTTGCTATTGAGGGCACTGGTCAAGGGGAGGTGCCAGGGGAGCCGGTGGGGGAACCGAGAAGATGATTAGGGCTGTTCTGTGCAAAACCACTGCAAAAAGCAGGCAAGTATAATATGTTTGCTTTTTTTAAAAAAAAAAAACTGAAAATTAAATATCACTTTAGGGTCCTTTCACACAGCGCGGACCTGTTTATTGGATCAGCTTGTACATTGGGGGATCTCTCCGCTGATCCCTGCTGAGCAAGCGGATGACAGATCTGTGTCCTGCTGCCGAGCGGACACAAAGGAGTTCGCTCTCCTCATTGGGTGGTCAGATGAAACCACCTGTCCATTTCCATCCGAACCAATCCGATGATCGAAAGGGGAATTGGATCCCCATCCGTCCCTTTTTTGTGGGTAGGATCGGATTGGATGTTGGCAGGTGTAAACGGACACATGTCCGTTTACACCCCACACTCCATAGAGGAGAATGGAGGTTTCCGATCAGGTCCACCTGCCCGTTTTTCAGATCAGAACGTCCATGTGAAAGAGGCCTTAAGCTGGCCATAGATGGGTAGAATTTTGAACAAAATTTCTAAGAAAGTTTGTTCGTTTTTCTAGTCATCAGTTGGGTAAAATCAACGTTTGTTTTTGACCACGAGCAAAAGGAGCACAATGGAAAACTTGAACAAATTTATAACAGTGCATGTGGTTTTCCTTCGATTAAAATCCAAAGTCCAAAATCAAATGTTAAAAACAAAATTAAATCTTTCAAACGATATTAGGATGTTCTGAGAATTTTCATAAACATTTCCCTCTATCTATAGCCAGCTATCTAAAATAAATGAAAAAAAAATGTTGCCTTCTTCAATACTGTACTTTAATATACAAATTATATCTGAAGGGATCATCATAGACTAAAAATGATGGATTACTGATTAACGATTCCTGATATTTTAAAAGGCATAATGGAAAAAACGATGTCTCATTAATATATATTTATTAAATAGTGTCTAATAAGCAAGCTGTAGTTGACAGTGGAAGTCCAACGAGTGGGACCTTGTCTGTGTATTGTACCCTGTGCCAGTGTTCCTCCTCCCGTGAATGGCACAGCAGCCTCTGATGAATCATAGCCAGTAGTACAACCTGAACAAGTCTAATCCAAGGTGAGTTTCACTGGGCAGGGACTGGCACATTCAAATCCCAGAGAGTAAATCCCGCAGCAACGTACAAAGTCATGCATAAAAAGCTTTCCTCCAGCCTGGAGACTGGAGTCCTCACACGTCACTTCACCATTTACTCTTCTTCATTGGACTTCCTTATGAAGGAAGCAGTCGGCTATTTAAAGGGCAGCTGGCGTTTCAAAACAAACAAAATGCTGCAAAGAGGAAGAGTGCAGAGGGAAGATGCTGCCTTTTAAAATCAAAGTGAGTCTAGAAACCAGAAGGTTAAAATAGATGCAACTGCAGATGTCAAGGAAGCACCGATTGTGCCCGGGGAAGAAGAGATTTCACCTATGCGCATGGAAAGGTTTCTTTACTGTAAGAGTAGTAGGATGTTAGAAAAAAATGCACACAAATATTGTAACTGGCTGTTAATATTCATAAATAATAACACCGTAAATTGTTGATCCAGGGCGCACCTGATTGCCTTAGAGCCAATGCACATGATGATTAGGGCTGTGCACAACCTAGATCAGCGTATTCCTGGTTAACTGACACTGTCCAAGGCTGTCCGCAGCTATCTGCATGTAATAACACATTACCTGTGGTTAGGGATGGATGTGTACCGCTGGAAACAGTTCAAGGCACACATCCGTCCCTAACTGCTGGTAATCGCTACATGTCTGATTACATGCGGACAGTGTCAGCCTGTTATTGATTTTTTTCTTACAGATTTACTGTCCAAGTGCAGTCTACTTTCTCCACTGTAGGTGGCACTCATCTGAAGTGGCAGTACAGCTGGAGAGAGAAATCAAGAGAAACTTGGCTTCTCTCTGATTTCCTTGGTTCCCCGGAGCAGCATTCGAGTTGGCTACTGTCAGCAAAGTCATGCTCAAGGCAATCCTCAAAGAAATGCCTGTGCTCAAAGGAATGTGCATGCATGCAGAACATAGAAGTATCCGAACCCTGCGCGAACCTGTGTGGGCATGTGCACATCCACATGGGCATTAGCATTGTGCACGTGCTCACGTGCGTGAGCATCCTTGTTTGATGACTTTGGCGCCTAGAGGCCTATTTAACCACTTGCCTACAGGGCACTTTTACCCCCCTCGTGCCCAGGCCAATTTTCAGCTTTCAGCACTCTCACACTTTGAATTACAATTGCGTAGTCATGCAACATTGTACCCATATATACTTTTTTATCAATTGTTTCACACACATAGAGCTTTCTTTTGGTGGTATTTAGTCACCACCGAGTGTTTTATTTTTTGCACTATAAACAAAAAAATAAAAATAAAACGTTTTTCTTTGTTTCTATGATAAAATTTTGCAAACAGGTATTTTTTCACCTTCACTGATGTGCACTGATGAGGCTGCACTGATAGGCAGCACTGATGAGGTGGCACGGATAGATAGCACTGATGGGCACTGATAGGCTGCACTGATGAGGTGGCACTGGTGGACATTGATGAGGAGGCACTGATATTGCTGCACTGATATGCAGCAACGATGGGCACTAATAGGTGGCACTGATGGGTGACACTAATAGCACTGACTGGCGGTACTGATGAGTGGCACTGCTTCGTGTCACTGCTGGGCACTGATTATCGGTGCTCTGCTGATCAGTGCTAATCTATTCTGTGATATTTGCTGGTTATCGGCAGTACTTTCCTGAAGTTGTGACAGTGTGAGGAAAGTGCTGCCGAAAACCGGCAACTGTATTTACTTGGTGATCTGCTGTGTCATTGGACACAGCTGATCATGTGGCAAAAGGCCGCTGTGATTGGCCTTTTACCTCGCTGGGGGCATTCTGAGGGCGCGTTCTGGGAGGACGTCATATGACACCCTCCCAGAACTGGACAACTGCGCTGTAGCCATCATTCGGCTATAGCACAGTTGTGAAGTGGTTAAAGTCTTCCAGGACTCAGGTTCATTGCTAAGTGGTCGTCAGTTCCTTCTGTTTGTGACCTGATTCTGTGCTCACCCGTATCCTGACCCAGCTGGTCTATCCTGCTTGTTCCTGAACCTCTGTTGCTAACTCTGGCTTGTGAACCAACCTTGCTTCCTGACTGCTGTTCTGGAACATCTTCTGCTCACCAATGATGATGCTGACCTTGGACTGGCTCTGACTCT